TTTTCTTTGATATAATAAATATTAATTTAAATAAAATTAAATAATAATTTTATTAATATTTAATTTTAAAATACCAGAATAGGACATCCAGTTGTATTAAGACTGTCCTTTCTTCGATATTGAAAAATATTAATAATTTATTGAAAAAAATATAAGTATTATTTATTATATTTATATTTATGATACATAATAATAATAAAATATTTAAATATATAAACAAGTAAAATTAAAAACAATAAAAGACAATTAGAACTATATATTAAAAGCAGTAAAATAAATGAAAATATTTAAAATTAGTGACTAAATTATAGTAAAATTAAAATTAATACCTAATTCATAATTAATCAAAATTATAGGGATTAAACATGCTATTTCCTATTTATTAATTTAGTGACTAAATAAAATTATATAAAATTCGGATATTAGATTAAAATAAATTAAAAACATACTATTCAGATTAAAAAAAAATTAATTATTAAAATTAAAGGACTAAATATGTCATTTACCCTAAATATATTATTTTAATACAAAGGACTAAAATAAATAAAATTAAAATTAAAGAACCGAATTAAAGGATTATAAATTGATTTAGTGACTAAAAATGTAAAGTTTACAAATTAGGATGACTGCGGAAAGGATTTAACTTTTATTTAATTACACAAATAGCCCTCCCGAACGGCGTCGTTCGGGAAGGGCTATTTAAAGCCAAAATCGGCGGGCCCGAAGGGCCAGCTTCATTTCTCATCTCTTCCCTCTCTCTCTCTTCTCTGAGAGAAAAAAAAATCCTCTCGCTTCTCTCTAAAACAGAGAGAAGCTCTCCGGCCGGCAGCCGCTCGCCGGCGTTGACCCGTCGCCGGCCACCGCCTTCGGTGGCCGGAATAATTTTTTTTACACTAAAACGTAGATCGGACCGTCCTAATGACGGTTCCGATGATCTTTTCTTTTAAACGGCTCCCAATCAGAGCAAATATAGAAATATACCTTCGGTTTTCGAAGGTTTTGGTGACGTTTGAAGAGGTCCGGTGGTCGTAGCTTCCTCGGTAAGCCTCTCTCCTCCCTTTTCTTTTGTTTTTGGTTGCTGTTTGTTGTGAGTTGGTCTATTTTTGTATCTTTTTTCTCGGTTTTGTCTCTCTGGGGTCTGTTGGCTCTCTCCTTTTTTTGCAGATGGGTGATGGCTTTATAGCCATCACCGGTGTGGCCATCGGACCGGTCTGAAGGGTGAAAATTCGGTGAGTCACCAAAGCTATGCTGGTGACTCACCATAGAGGCGACGTGGACGGTCAGGGTTGTGGTAGCAGAACTTCTGGAGGCTTCTTCGGGGCGGCTTCGTGGCATTGGTGGAGGTAGGCAGCGGACGTGTGGCCTCTGGAACCAACGGCGGTGGCTGAAGACTTCTGGAGGCGGCGGGGCAGCAGTAGTGCTAGGGTTTAGAAACCCTAGCTGAAACCTAAATTGGTTTAGGGTTTCCTTTTGGGTTTGGGCCGATTCTGTTTAGGCCTGAGATTTGGGCTTGTAAATTTTTTTTAATAATAATAATAATATAATAATATATAAATAATATATAATATAATATATATATATAATAATAATAATATAATATTTAAATGAAAAAATGTATCTTCAATTGTGATCATAATTTGTTCACAATCTCGGTCTCTTCATGAAAATGAATTAAATGAAGTCAGTGAAGTCAAGCGACATAGAAGTTTGGCAACTCTTGGGTTTGGAAGAGGGTCCTGAACCTGACCCGTCTGGCTCAGATCAGTGGTCACATCGGTGGAGCCGCGGTCGAAGTGGTGGCGGTCATCAGAGTGAGGAGGAGGATGGTAGTACAAGCGTGCAGTTTGTGGGCAATGGGAATGGAACCTTGCAGCTATCCTTATCCATGCATTCAATAACAAGGTATATTTTCCCATTCAAAGGAGACACATTATGGTGTTGGATTGCTCGGAGGAGGGAGTGAGAAGCTTGTGTTTGATGAGAAAAAGATTAGGGGGAGATTTTTGCTTTTATAGTCCCTTTCATGTCATTAAGACTTTTTGTATTTCGTTTCTATTTATGATCCTTCTTTGACCTTTTGCATAATACTTTAATTGCAGTTTGTTGAAACAACAAAGCGATGATGGCGCAGAATTAGTACTAGGGAGCAAAATCTCATGGGGTTCGATTAACACAACTTTGTCGTTGCAATAACCATTGATATCGTTCATCATTGTCTGGTCGAATAAAGGGTATGTGATTGTGATGCTCTTGTCTTCCTTTGCTTCAGTTGTCGTGGTATTTAAGGATGTTTCAGGCAGCTCCTTGAAATGAAATCCATCTACCACTTTCCTTTTCCTCTCCAATCTTTTTGGTGGACTATTTCTTATTTCTTTCAATACCTTTTCATTTAGTAGGAGAGAGGTAGTAATAATTATATTGACGAGATATTAATAATTACACGCTTTATCATATCACCTTATACACAATTATGAGTAAATTTAATTATTAATAGTATATTATATTACTATGTTTATAATATATATATATATAATTAATTAAATAGTGCATGTACAATATAATTTTGATTACTCACACGTTATTTAGAGCTAACCCGAACCTGAACTCTGGAGGACTATTTGAAGAGTCAAATAATTATTTAGTTGGAATATGGTGTGTTTTAAGGGTGCAACTTAGGTGAGGTATTATCAATGGCACCTATTCTTCTGCCAATGGATAAGTTGTGTTGGAACGCCAAGAATTTGTGCTAAAGGAACATTTGAAAATCAACTTAATTTGCCATGCTGCAACTTGAAGCTTGGCCCTACACTCCAGCTATCACTGAATTGACTTTAATTTAGTTTTTTAAAATTTATATATGTCATAATTAAATTTTTAAAAAAATATTCTTTTAGTTTCAAACATATTGTTTTGAATTTAAAAATGGGCACGAACCATGTGATTGGTAAAGGAATTGTTGTTATTCCTTGAGTATCCAGGTTCAAGCATCATAGATGCTGCCTTTAATGTCAAAAAGGTTAATAGTTTATACTTATCTCATATTAATACAAAAATGTAAAATTATTTATTTAGTTGCCCAACTTTTTCATGTTCCAGTTTTGGTCGCTCAACTTTTAGACTTTTCAATTTATCATTAATTTTTGGAGTTCTCTCTTTTATGTCTCAACCATTAAGTATTTATCGTCGTTTAAATTTTTGAAATTTATGGGGGGGAACTCTGAAAGTTTCCTCTCAGACTTAGATTTTGGACTTCTTTAATTCAATGACATTGGATTATTTTCTTCCAAATTCGAATGGTAGAGAAATGATAATGAGGAGATCATATATATATTGATTCTAAGTTGATTAGAGATGGAAATCATACCTAATCAAGATAAAGTCAAACTTGTTGAGTTGTACCGATTTTGAGTAAATCAAACTAAGAAGAAGAAAATGGGGAGAAAGGAGAATGTTTCAGATTTAGTTAAATCGCAATGATGGTCATCGTCGATCGAGCAATGTTGGAGAAGGATATCTGTCATGGGAGAGAGAAGATTAAAAGTTCAGGTATATTTCAGAAACAAATACCCAAAACACAACGTTTTGGTGTTGGTGTTTGGAACTTAACGGTCAAGTGACCAAAAAGAACGGAATTTGAAAGTTTATACTTTATAGATAAAATTGAAAATTATAAAAGTTGGGTGATTAAAATAGAAACATGCTGGAAGTTATTTGACTAACTATGTAGTTTATCCTTTAAAAATCTGACTCAAAACCCACCATCTTGATGAATACAAGTAATTAAGTTCTTGTGAATAAGTCTAACCCTCAGCGGCACACAAGGAAATATAGCTGCCCACATGACACCACTTCACCAGCTACAATTACAATTACAACCGCTAACGCAAAGTCAATATCCCAACTCCAACCCCCCAAATAGTCTTATGCGCACACGCAGATCGGTTATTTTGAGTCCGTTTCAATGACAAAACAAAACCCATATGCTTTCTTTCTCAATACACAATCTAAATTCAGCATGCAATCTCCAAACCACAAACCCACATTTATTTATCACCCTTGCATAACAAGGTCGAACAGCTTTAATCACATGTATAAGAATATTCACTACCACCATCATCATTAGTTGGATGATTCTAGGGATTGCATGAAGTATACGCCAGAGCTCTGAGTCTGAGTTGAATAACCCACATATATTACAAAAGCAGCTGATAAAAAGGAAGCATAAACATGTGCTGAGCAATTAAGATTGGGGTTGATTTCCAAGAGCTCGCTTTGGGTTTGAGTCAAACAACAGGACCACTGCCTCTGCCTGCAGACTCAGATTCTCTAGAGAATGTCTGCTGCTTCGGTTAGCTAAACAAAGCAAGCATTAAACAAGACTAAAGTGATCTTAATCATAGGTGCTATAATTGCCAAGCCTTTTGCATATTGAAAAGGTTGTCAAAAACTAAGCCGCCCCTCTCTTTTTTGTGCAGGTGCATGTCACGGACTATTATTCTCTTCTCAAAAGATACGGATGATAACTGATAAGAAGTAAAGTGTCATTGTTTATAAATATCAGAACCTCTATGATATAAGAATAATGTTTTTCACCTTTATGGTATGTAACACAAGAACATGCTCATATAGACAGGAAGATAAAAGAAGCTATCTTTTATATATATATAAGAGAATATTTTCTGTTAAGGGTTGATCATAATGGAAAATATATAAGGAAAAAGGATAACTCATTAAAATATAATAATTTCATAAATTGAGTTGAAAGGTGTAATGTGGGGGTTTGAGAAAAGATGAGGCTTTTTGGTCAGCTTGGTGGGTGTGTAAGAGCATCATAAGCTTTTTTTCTGAATTATTTAATTTTGTGATATTAAAATCCCCCTCTCCAAAAGAGGTAAGATGACGGTCAATTTAATCAGCATGCATGTGTGTTTATAGTAAAGGAATGATAAATTGTTATATGGGTAAATTATGCAGATAATCCATTGCTTGTAGGTAACTTTTTAGTTAGGTCACTCGAGTATAAATAATATAAATCGATCACTCGAGTTATTGAATATTATAAAATGATTATCAACGTTGATTTTTAAACAAAAAAATTGATGTCACATTAATAAATAAATTTAATCGCCGTGTCATTTCCATTCTATATCCATATTCAAACATGGTTATTTCTAAAAAAATAGAAAAAGAATAAATTGAACTAGGAAATCAAATAAAAGCCGAAATTAGGAAACAGTACATGAAAATGAAGATTCTTTAACCTAATTCGAGTACAATATGAAGTTGTGCTCATAAGCCTGCACGTCCAAGGACAAATATTCAAACGGCCGAGGTGGGGATCAGATTGTTTTGGACCTCCAATTCTTTAGCAATAACCATTTAACATATGACATTGTGCTCTATCTTGACCTATTATTTACTGCGAAAAATAATTTTTTAATGGCTTTTATACTAGTATATTGTAATATTTATATAAATTTATTGTTAAATTTAAATAAAGAACAAACCTTGTCTCCGGTGCACTTTCAGGTCTTAATTAATCAAGCCTTGTATCGGGAAAGAGCTTATATAGTGTAGAAATCTGAGTTAAATATTCTGCTAATTCCACCTTCTGACGTTTATTCTTTCACTTGCAAAATACAAACCAGAAACTGGTACCTTTAATTAGTAATTTAACCCAGCTCCAAGCCCCTGCTGCGTACACCTAGAGTTCCAATGTGAAATTGCTCTCTGGCGCGCGTGCATTGACATTTGACGTATTAAAATGAACCAAATTATATACTATATAGTTTTTATTTCATTCAGAAATGCTACCTTCTCTGATATCTGATGCAATCGTCTGCAGAAATATGCTCTTACACGCCCACCCAAGCCGACCAAAAAGCCTTATCTTTTCAAACATGAAATTATATTATATTTCGCCACCCCTTTTTACATTTTTCAAGTTCTATCTATATAAGCGTGCATGCGTTCAACTTATACTTTGTGAGTACTTCTCTCTACAACAGCTCAAGGTAGATGAATTATTTGTGTTTTCCTTGTTTCTTGATTGCTTTCATTTCTATGTTTATCTTTTGTTGGATGATTTTTTGCTGAAATTTCATCGAATTTTGTTATGTTCCATACAAGACAAACTCCAGTTGCCCAGTACTGACTTTAGCTGTTGCTTTTTTTTTTGGTTGATAATGATCATATTCGTCACTCTTTGGTTTCTTTTGGCAGGATAATAACAAGATTTTTGTTGTTCTTTGGCTCAGATATAGTTTCTTCCATGGATGGATTGGGATGGGTCGACTTTTCAGAAATTGAAGCAAAATCATTGCCTTCGTGGAACAATCAGCGAAACGATATGGAGGATGGTTGTTTCTCAATTCCCAACTCTTCAAATTCTTCCATGTATGGTGCCAAAATCGATGATCTGCCAGAGGATATCTTCTGGGAAGATGCTTTAACACAAGGGCTTTGCTTTTCTCCTTTGATGAATAGAGCTTATGGTAATCAGGTTCACTCACAAGTCATCATTGGTGGTGGTAGAACAGCAGGCTCTCTCGAGTCCTTTGATTGTTTGATGTCTGGTACTAATAGCAACACTGATACATCAGTGAAGATGATGGGATTTCCATGATTTTTCTGGTTGTAAAAGTCTATGGAACTTCGCTGCTAGCAGTGCAGTTTCATCAGGAGAGTCTGAAAACAGTGGCTCAAATACGGGAAGCAAAGATTTCAATTGTCTGGTAAACGAGCTCGACGAAATAGTGTCCCAAAATGCTTCAGACCCATCACAAACAAAGTCTAGTAATTCTTCAAAGAGAAAGAATGATCAAAGTGAGTTAAATTTCGGTTTCTTCAATCTCCTTCATACTGACTCTTCTGCAACAGAAGGTGGTTTTAGGCTCATCCCGGATAACCCACCGAAAGCAAAGAAAATCAGATCGGAAAAGCATCCGAGCTCATCGAATATCAACTTTCAGCAGCCTGCAAGTTCATCAGTATCTTCTTCCATTGAAGAACCTGATCCAGAGGCCATTGCACAGATGAAAGAGATGATTTATCGAGCTGCAGCATTCAGGCCGATGAACTTAGGGTTGGAAGTGGTGGAGAAATCGAAGAGGAAGAACGTCAGGATATCGACGGATCCACAAACCGTCGCAGCAAGGCAAAGGAGGGAGAGGATAAGTGAGAGAATTAGGGTTTTGCAGAAGCTGGTTCCTGGTGGAACCAAGATGGATACTGCTTCAATGCTTGATGAGGCTGCAAATTATCTAAAGTTCCTTAGGTCCCAAGTCAAGGCACTAGAAAACTTAGGCAACAAGCTTGACCCAATGCATTGTCCCCCTCATGACCTTGCTTTCTCTTCTTTACCACTCCAAACCCTAATCATATCAACCATCCACAGGGTTGAAAAAAACAAACTATTGTATCATCACTTCATAACCCTCCATTAATGGTTAACATGTCCCAGTCTCAGAACAAGTACTAGTATATTGGAAAAAAAACTAATCCAAATCCCTTGGTTATCATCATTTTCATCATTACGTAGTATCAAAAGAATCTTTATAATGATAGATTTTCTGATTATCACCATCATTGTATCTATCACCCAAAAGCAGAAAGGGGCTTAGTTCTTGATAACCTTTTCTCATAAGAAAAAGGGTCTGGAATTATAGCACTTATGATTAAGACCAAGGGCAAAGAAAAGTGATTCTGATCATCACTTTACTACTCTGTTTAATACAATTTGTTTAATGTATTTCTATGTACTTTCAAAAGCTATTTTTTTCCTTTTGGTTTTTCTTTAATGTGTTCTTTGTTTAGCTAACCAAAGCAAAACAATAACATTCTCTGTCCGGTCTCCTTGATTCAACCCAAAGCGTGCTCTTGAAATCCACCCTGGAATCTAATTGCTCAGCACATGTTTATGCTTCTTTTTTGGCAGGTCCATTTGTAAATATATGGTTATTCAACTCCCAATTCTGTTTTATTGCTTTATCTAATCCCTAGAATCATCCAACTAATAATGTCTCCATATGATGATGATGATGTGGGTTTTTGATAATATTTTAAATGCGTCAGTTTTTTCTTGTAAAGGTGAAGACCAAGGTGGGTTTTGATTGGATCAAGCTTTTGTGGTTTGGAAGTATATGCTAAATTTAGACAATTCTGTTGAAAAATTGGCCCATATCTCAGGCTGGGGTTACAAAATAACCAATTTGCATGTGCACAAGCTTATTTGGAGTTGCAAGTTGAGAGAATTGACTTTGTGTTGAGCCGTTGTGATTTTAGCCGTTGCACTGGTGTCATATGGACAACTAGCTTTGCCTTTGCGTGCTGCTGAGAGCTGACTGGTGACTATTAGCTCAACCAAGGGGCATGTCTACTCGGCTACTCTGCTCCATTGTGATAGGCTATCCAAATTGTAAAATCAAACCACAAAAACCCAAAAGAATTGCAAGACAAAATTGTATTAGTAGAAGTGTTGATGGGACAAGAGATTAAGTTGTAGTTCACCCTTTCTAACTTGAGTGAAGAGATACAATCGATAATAACTCAATTGTTAATCGATAATATTAACAAGGAAATATATAAAGGAAAACTGTCAGGAGAATACTTCAAGTAGAAGTAACCCCAGAAAAAAAAAATCATTTCCTCCTACCTATCATTGATGTTTATATATTGATTCCTTTTTGCTTGTTTGTGTGAAGTTTAAGGTTATTATTGGTATGTATAAACTTTGTCAATGGTTATATAAATACAATCATCGACTATCATCTTGACAAATCTCTCAAGTTTATATACCAATGAATCTCATATTCTTGATCTCCAACGAGTTTATTTGGAGGTAATCTTAATAGGATAGCGGAGATATTATATTTTCGGAAATATAATTTACAATAGTATAACAAGAAGTGATGTAATTAATCAGAATTCTTGTCATAAAATAAAGAATTACAGGTACCCACAAGTGAAAGCTAGTATCAACAAAGCTCCAATAGGCACACACATTCAATATGGGGAGTGTGAGGGAACATATTGAAGACATTAATTTTTCACTTTCATTAAAATTAAAATTATTAATTTTATTATTATTATTATATATATTATTATTATTATATAAATAAATTACAAAACTGAAAGCCCGTTTACAAGCCCAAATCCCAGGCCAAACCAGAATCGACCCATACCCAAATGGAAACCCTAAACTGATTTAGGGTTTTAGCTAGGGTTTTCAAACCCTAGCTCCCAGCCGCTGCTTCCGTGATCCCCAGCCGCCTCCAAGATTCCAGAACAACCACGTGGCTGCCGCCGTTGCTTCCAGACGTTCCAGCTGCCGCCGCCCTCGCCAGAAGTCTCCAGAAGGCCAGCTGCTCCCCACATGTCACGGCTATGGGGTGAGTCACCACATAGCTCGGTGACTCACCGAACTTCCCCCTCTAGACCGGTCCTAGCATGGCTTGGTGGTGGCTATAAAAGCCACCGGATCCTGCAAAACAAAAGGGGGAGAGAGGACAGAAAAAAAAAAAAAAAAAAAGACAGAGAAAGAGATACGAACAACCAGAGCAAGAACTACAGACACGAGAGCAAATCAACACCCAACAGCAACCAAATAAAGAAGGAGAAGAGGAAAGGAGACTTACCAAGGGAACTGCCGTCATCAGAGCCTCCCTACATCTTTGAAACCGAAAGGTCGAAGGTAAAGAACCTTAGATCTACATATTTTGGTAATGATCTAGGTTAAAATACCCTCGGATTTGGCTTTAGGGAAAGCAGGGCTTCGATTTAAGGTATATATGTAATTTTCCGGCCACCATTAACGGTGGCCGGCGGTGGAGACCGACACCAGAGTACGGTGTCCGGCGACTGCCGGAATTCCCTCTGGTTAGAGGAAGTTAGAGAGAGACGAGAGAGTTTTATAAACTCTCTCAGTTAGAGAGAGACGAAGAAGAGAGGAAATGAGGGATGCTGGCCCTATGGGCCAGCCATTTGGTCTTATATACCCCTCCCAAACGACGCCGTTTTGGGTAGGGGTATATCTATAATTTCGCGCACGGGTCAAACCACTCGCGTAGTCATCCTAGCTTTGTAAATTTCTATCTTGGTCACTAAAATCAATTCCTATACTTTTTAATTCGATCTTCTAATTTTATTTTATTTATAATTTAGTCATTATCAGTAAATGTATATATTTATGGTAAATAACAGATTTAGTCTCTCAGATTTTAATAATTTATATTTTAATCATTGGTTAATAATTAAAATTAAATTACACTAATATTATATAAATTTCATAATATTTTGAATTAGAGCCTTTAATTTTGGTATTTTACATTTTAATTACTGATATATATTAGTTTTTTTGTACCATAAGTTTATTTATTTTTTTAAATTTATTGTTATAATTTTAATTATTTTATTTGATTATTATCTAATTGCAAATTTATATCTATTATTATACTTTAGTTATTATATTTCATTTTATTTTTATTTAATCTTAGTCATATATATATATATATATATATATTTGTTTAAATAATAATGTTTATTTATTTTTAATATCGAAGAAAATGACAGTCTTAATATAACTGGATGTTCTATTCTGGTATTTTAAATAATTAAATATTATAAAAAATTATAATTTAGTTTTATTTAAATTATTAAATTATTATATTTTTAGTTATTTATTTATATTGAAGAAAAGAGCTGTCTTAAAGTACCTAGAAGCCCTTTTCTGATATTTCTAAATATATAAATATCTTATTTATGTATATTAATATATATTATTAAAATTATTTGAAATAACAGAATTATGAATTAAATATATCTTTGAATTTTTAAATTTCCAATAATAGAGACAATTTATAATTAAAAAGTACCAATTTTGGGCGTTGTAGGGGTGTTAATCCTTCCCTAAACGTAATCGACCACGAATCCCTTTCTATTAATAAAAAGAACGAATTTTTGGTTATAAACGCAGATCAGTTCATCTTTTAACTGATGTTTTCTTAAAAACGCTTTTAAAAGATAATTTTTAGGTATTCGACCTACCTGACCCAAAAGGCCGATGGCGACTCCAAATTATTTTTAAAACCATTTATTCACATCACTTTTCCCGCCAAGTATTTAAAATTTCGTGCCCGGACGAAAACCGGTTACGACAGCTTGGCGACTCCGGTGGGGACTGTCAAACTTTAAAATCAATTATAAATTGTCTCTATTAATTAGAAATTAAAAATTTATTTATTTAATTTTTAATTCTTTTCTTTCAAATTTTTATTATTTATTATTTTTATATTAATATTGTTTTTTTTTATTCAGGTATTAATTATTTTATTTATCTGTTAGAGGTTTGAACATTTCTCCTCACACACAACACTTGCATTGTATAACATAAAGCTCTATAATTGAGTTTGTCCCTTTTAAGTGGGAGTGAAAGCGACGTCTTCGTGAGAATTTATTCTCCGTGTCAGACCTAGCAAGTAACTTTTGGGGTTCATATGCTCTATGTCTTCGTGAGAATTTATTCTCCGTGTCAGGTATAGAGAAATGTGTCCCCTCGAATTGAACTCGATCCGTTTAAGTCTGTAATGGACTAGGATTGAGGGTTGACAGCCCAAGGGGGCATCAACAAGGACAGTTCGAGTACTTTTACTCCTAGAACTGAAAACCTGCATATAGTAAACCCTAGAAATTCTCCCAATCTGAGACCATGCCGAAATTTTGTCAGTAGGTATACACAAAGGAGAAATAAGCTCTAGCTTTTAATTTATTTTATTTCCTTTTCTTTTTCCGAAATAAATGCATGCGAACTAGAAATCATGCGGTTAGGTTAAATTTTCCAAATAAAGCATGGAACTAGAAAGCATGAGGTTAAGATTTATAACTTGATAAATAGATTTTTTTCCATTAGTTGGTACTAACTATTCTATTTTTTTTTCATGCATGTTACATTGCTCTAATCTGTTCATATTGATTTCTTTTGTTTGCATTGCATGATCATGGCATAATCAAAAGGTGTTGACTTGAAAGATTGTTCATCATATTGGAAAGAAATCGTAAATGGACAAAAAGTTCTATGATCAAACAAAATATGATGCGGCCAAGAAAAGACGTCCTGAGGGAACTCTGAAGATAAGAAGAGCTATGCACCCAAAGATCGTATGCCCATTGAAGAGAAAAAGGAGATACGAGAAATAAGAGAGCAGATGTCCAAGATGATGGATAGAATATCTGTTTTGGCCAAAAGAGAAGAGATTCATGCACAGAAAGAGAGAAAGCTTAATGAAAATAATTCTGTAATTTCATATATGCAAGGGCCTTTTGATCCTAACCAATTTGAGAAGTTGCAGACAATCATCATTTGTATTCATAAATCGTATGGAGATATTAAAGAAATTTTGACCACTGTAAAAGCTCCCAGAGATGAGAAGAAATCATGTAATCAGAAATC